ATAAGTTTGGATCATGGGATCAAGCATATAAATGGTTATGATTAAGTCAAACTATGGTCAATCATTAATGGCAATCTGATAATTATTAACCATAGTGTTGTCAAATATTTGTATTTGACCAATAATTAAGGGTAAAGTGGTAAACATATAAAGTGGGACCCACTCATTAAATCAATTTATAAAGTGGTAAACATATGAAGTAAAATGGTTAACACACATTTTTCTCTCTCCTAAAAAAAACGCACACACATAATCACAGAAAACACACACCATCGGCACCACCACTGCAGTTGCCGTCTTCCGCCCGCCGCCGGCAACCGGTCGTCAGATCTCGTCGCCACCGTCCCCAACCACCGTCACCAACCGGCAGACCGACCCCCGTCCGCCGGCAGGCCCACCTGCACAGTCCCACCGCCGCGCATCACCAACCTGGCCGCGCGACTTTGCCACCTGCCGCCACGTATCCTCAGCTTGGCCGCGGCGACTCCGCAACCAATTGTCGCACATATTTAGATCGGCCTCCGCGGCTCCCCAGTCGACCGTTGCGCCTCCCAACCCAGTCTCCGCGCATCCTCAGTCTGGCAGAGGCGACTCCAAAGCCCCGCCGCTGTCACCACTATCTCAGCCCGCCACATTCCGCCGTCGTCACCATCTCTGCCCGCCACATTCCGCCCTCATTCTCCACCATATCCACACAGCAGCTGAGAACTCCGAGGATTCAGACGCCTCTGGTCGGAGAAGATGAACAGTCTAGCGTGGTGTGTGTGTGTGTTAATTGATTTGGGGCCTTTGGTCGGAGAAGATGAACAGTCTAGCGTGGTGTGTGTGTGTTAATCGATTTGGGGCCTTTGGTCGGAGAAGATGAACAGTCTATTGTGGTGTGTGTTAATTGATTTGGGGCTTTTCTAATGACAATTAGATAATCCTTAGGGTCTATTTTGCAATTTCTGAAATTTTAATATATGTATATTTTATTATGGAGTGCAATTTATAACTTAATGTAAATTAATTTATGCATAATAATGACACCTTAGATGTACAATATTTTGTGTAGGTGTGCAATTTAAAAAATAATGTCATGTGTCTTCGAAATTATTTAAAAAATATTTTTTTGATAACATAATTGCACGATATTCTGTATAAATATGCGCTTCAAGGTGAAATTTAAAATTTCAAATTGAAAATTTTGAAATAATTAGTTTAATTTGTCGGTTAACCCAAATAACTAAAATAACCGACATAAATTATATTATTTATTATAAGAAAATGATTAGTATTCAATATATTTTTTTAATCAATAATTTATATTATTTTTTAAAAATATTAGTATATATGTAAACGAATTATACAGTGCAATATAATAGTTATTAAGATGCAATTCGTCCAACGATTTGGTGCACGATGTCAGTATGTATTGTACAAATTGAACCAACCGAACTTTTATCACAATCAAATTGAAAATGAACATAATTAATTGGTTTATTCGGTTTGGTTAACCGAATTATTCTAAATTATCTAAATAGTTCGTTAACTATATTAAAATTATTTTTAATACGCTAACAATTTTATTTATTATTTTTATATTATTTTAGGTTGAAAAAAAAAATGAGTTTGGTTGGTTACATTCTCTATTAATGCGACTTATAGTCGTGATAAAGTGCAATGCATTGTTTTATAAAGTACAACGTGTTGATGTATAAAGTGCACTTTATGTTGTGTGGAGTTTTGACCGGAGTTAATGGTGGAGTGTTGTGACTTGTGATAAAGTGCAGCATGTTGTGTTATAAAGTGCAACGTATTGATATATAAAGTGCAACTTGTTGACGTTGAAAGTGCAACGTGTTGATGTATAAGGTGAACTACTGTAATTTTAGTACGTTACCATTCTTGTGTTTTACATGGACAACTGATGTAATTGATGTTAAAATATTACGTATATCCATTTTTTAGAGTTATGGTGTGTGGTATTTTGGCAGGAGACGTTAATTGTGGATTGCGGTGATAAAGTGCAACACATTGTTTTATAAAGTGCAACATGATGATGTATAAAGTGCAACAGATTTATTATATTTATTCGCCAATTTATTCATAATAACCAAAAATAAAAAAATTATTATTATTATAAAAACATGTCTGTGTTTAACATTTTTATTCAATATTATATATATGTATATTTTTTCTGAAGAGTAATAAATATATGTTTTATATTTTATAAGGAAAAAATAAAACAATATTTTTTATTAGTTGTTCGATTCAGATATTTCGATTTTTGGTTCAGTTTGTATATTATTATTGTATAGTGTAGTGAGAAATTTTGTGATGTTCATATACACATTGTTTTAATTGAAATTAATGTGCATTTAATAAATTTCTAATAAATTACAAATTCAACCCATAAACTAAATTGTAATATATTGAAATTTATAAAAATTGCAATAAAACCCCTATAAAATATCAAATTTCCAAAAACAAACACCCCAATTCCAAATTTCCAATCTCAATCCATGGTCTCCCGTCAAATCAGCCCCTGCAATTGCCGCCGGCGAACTCTTCTCTGATGGTGGACGATGGAAGAACGGCGGCTGCAACGGGAAGGAGTGAAGACCACGATGGTGAAGGTGGTCGGAGGCGCCTTCACCTTCACACTTGCAGGCGGCTGAGATCTGCGGGAAGGAAGTGATAGAGGCGTTACAGTCAGTTCCCGACGGAGGGAGGAGGACGACGACGAAAGCTCCGCCATCGGACCAGACGGCGGCGTATAAGGTGGTCGTCGGAGTTGATGACAACAATGGACCGCGGGATGAAAGCGCGACGGATATGTACCGGCTCTGAAGGCGGCAAATCGATGAAAAACACGGCGGTGGTGCCGGCGGCATTCTGGGCGAGGTGACGGCGCCGTCGTGGTGTCCGTATGTGTGAAGGTGACGGTCCTGCCGGCGGAAGGGTGAGTGTGTGTGACGGGGTGTGTGTGAGAGAGAGATAAATAATGAATCAATTAAAGAGAAATTTAATGAGGAGAAAGAGAAAGAGAGTTAATGAGGGAGATGGAGGGGTGAGTGGGTGACGTGTCGTGGCAAATTGGTGTGGTGTGTGTGGGTCCCATTATTTTTTTTGGTGTTGTCAATTACCATCTTATCCTTAATGAAGGTATAATTATGCATTTTTTAAGCCATTAGATCGCCCGATCTAATGGCTAGGATGTATTCTTATTTCTCGCATTAAGAGTCATTCTCACCGGAGCGTGACCATATATATATATAGGACTTCTAACCAAAAAAAAAATCGATCAAAACTTACTTGTAACTATATCCAAGCAAGCCCTAAATGGCTAAACCTTTCGTCCCTCCACGTACAAGAAATCTTTAATTTTAATTAGGGTAAATACTTTTAAACCATCCAANCCAGGGCAATTTGGGAATTCCAAATTTTTAAAATATTGCAAAAATAAAGGACCAAATCATAATTTATATGCTTTTATAACAACTCGACCTCTATTCTTTGTCAAATTCTCAACTACTAACTTATTTTTTATTTATTTTTATTCTTTTAGTTAAAAAAATTAAAAAAATGACGAAAACTATGTCAATTCAGAGCTCCGCCACCTGAAACCGTCTCTGCCGTCATCATCCTCCTCCTCCTCCTCCTCTCTCCCTCTCTCATAACCCCCTCTCCTCGGCCCCATTTCAACATCAAGATCACCAAAACTTCGACCTAATTTTCCAATTCTAAAACTACCTGCGAGTCAACATCGCACACACGACCTCGAACTACACCGTCGCCATCCTTTACCTCTCCTAATTCATTGCCACCATCCCCTGCCTCCAACCCAAATTCTTTATCTCATAACATCGGACAAGCCCCTCCTCCTCATCATCTGGCCTGGTTCAAACCCTGCCCTCCCTACGATTATGTTCAATCACACCTCGATTTGGTCCCCGCCGAGTCGTCCAAGTGGCCTCACAACCCCTTCACCACTGAATTAACCAACGACGGAAAGATCTACGCCCCCACCGCCCGTTGTTCTCGACTGGCTCCCTCCACCTCTCCAAGTTCAACCTCACTGGCGTGACGCTCACCACCGCCTTCAATTTCTAACTCACCGACCGCAACCAGAACAAGAAGATTGACTTCTACTATGATCATATCTCTGTTGGGCTACACTCCAGAAATGTGGACATCAGCGATAGAGTGTTTCCTGGCTTCGGGCACGGCAGGAAAAACACGGCAACGTTGATTTCGAGCTCGATCGTTATGATTCTCGTCGACACTGACGTGTCGCAGCTAGATCGAGCTTGAGGAGTGGCGATTCATCGGTGAAGATAGAGCTGGACACAAAGGTGAAGGTGCAAGTCGGCAAAATTGAGTCAGAGAAGCTTGGGATTATGGTCACCTGCGATGGAATCACCGAAGTCAATATCTTTATTTTTTTTTAAAACATACGAAATTCTTAAAAATGTCCTTAAAAATGAGCTTTGTTTTTGGTCAAATCGGGCTTAAACTTAGTAGTGGACAATATGACAAACTCGCATAGTTCAGATAATGATACAACTCGATAATCGCAATAGTTCAAACGGCAAAAAATAATTTTCCCTCTAATTATTAGCACTTTCTTGGTTTCTAATTATTTCTAGAACGTCCACGTCACTTTTCCTATGACCGCCCCACTATTCTTCTCTCTTTCACCATTTGCCCTCTCCCTCTATTTAAATTCTCCCCCCACAAGTCCACAACACGCCTCTACAGAAAAATCAAAAAACAAAATTAAATATATAGAGAGAGAAAAATGAGTTAGTTTCCCCCAAGAGAGAGAGAGATATTATTATGATCTGTTATTATGGGCAGATAATCAGCCAATCGCAAGATGATGAACAAACCAATGGAAGTCGCTAAGCTCCCAAAACACGTTATCGCCCATTCTCGCGTTTTCATCTTCGGATTCTACTGTTGGGGCTGGGAATTCCTCACCGCGCTTTTGCTCTTTAGTTGCTGATAATACATATATATATATATATATATATATATACGTCTTCGATTTAATTATTTTCTGGAAATTAATTACGATCGCGAAAGAAGAAGTAGATATTTCGACTTTAAAAAAGAAAATTATTTATTTTCGATTTTTCCTATTTGAATCGGACCGGGCTTTTGGTGGTTTTGGGGCAAAATGGCCCAGAGGTCGGTGCCGGCGCCGTTTTTGACAAAGACTTATAATCTGGTTGACGATCGGGAAAGCGACGACGTCGTATCGTGGAACGACGGCGGCACGGCTTTTGTTGTCTGGAAAACCGCGGAGTTTGCGAAGGATTTGTTGCCCAATTATTTCAAGCACAACAATTTCTCAAGCTTTGTTCGCCAGCTTAATACCTATGTAAGTCTTCTTCTTTTTCTTCATCTTCACTTTTTTTTTTCTATTATTATTAATTATTAATAATTATTATCGGTGTGTTTAATGTGGTCAGCTTTTGAGTAAATTCGCGACAAAGTAGATATATAGAATAATTAAAGCGCTCAACCTAGTTCATTAAGCATGGTGTGACACTGTGACTTTTAATTCCCTAGAATATGCTTTTGGATCTAAGGAGACTAACTTAATAATTTTATGGAATGTTTAAATTTTTGTGTTTCAAATTTAATTTGAAGCACAATCTCTTGGGTGTAGCAGCAGAATAATGTTTTGACAAGGTCTCTTCATTATAATTTTTGATAAAAAAAAAAAATACATATTAACCAATTATATCTGGAAAATAAATGACTATCTAAAAGTTAGAGAGAGAAGACATTTTTAGTGGCCATATTAAGCATGCAAAATTGGAGTCTTATCATTGTCCCCCATTTCTCTAAGTTAAGTTTATTTAATTAATTATAGCTTTGAGAATTTGATTTTATTTTTTTATATAAATAATTCTTTTTTTTTTTTGGATTTAGATTTACGGATTAAAGACTCTCCAGATTATTTCCTCACATTCTCTTGTGAAATAAAAGAAAAATATCCATGTACATAGATGTGCATAGGTGGTTACTAGATAAATTCCACAAGCAATAGCAAATAGAAGCAGAGAGAATTGATGGGAATTTCGGGTTGAATTTTCTATTTTCATTAATAAATTAACAGCGAGATTATTATTAGACAGATTAAATGGTTATGTCATACTTTTTTTCAACAATTTACTAAAATATCATAATTTAAAAACATAACATAAATAAAAATATTATATTTCATAGAAAATTAATTTACTTTTTTATAAAAAATTATTGTGAAATAAAATAAAAATAAGAAGAAGATGATGTGGGTAGGAAAATGGAGCCGCCAACAGCGGATATAGTTGAATTACGGAATTACCCAAATTCCCATTTCTAGTTTTCTCTGTAAAAGAATTCATTTTATTTAGGGCTCAATTTTCATGCAATTCACACTTACCAAACATGATACTGTTTAAGGATTTGGATGTAAAAGTTTTCCCGAACGTTGAAAATTGAAACTCTAAGCAATATACTACGTTTTTAGGTAAGATTTCACTCTCTGACATGTGATAATTCCCTATACAACATGTATGATACTATGATGCATCCAAGCTTTGAAAAAAAAAAAAAA